TTCAAAGAGGAGTTTGGGTTACATGTATTATTTGGATTAGCAATACACACACCTTGATTTCACCCAATTATTTCATTCCTTTTTGGTTGTAACTTCATTTGTCCAAAATGATTATACTTTCTCTATTCTTTGGTATGAGAAAATGAAATTACCACTTTGATATTGGAGGGTTAGGCTTTGTAAGCAACAAAATCACAGAGCTGTTAATTCACGTTATTTGAGTCATGTATTATTTAAACCCATGAGAAACTAAAATTATACATATAGGTAGTTTTATGTTATATAAACATTTTGTAGTATAGAGGAATTATAAAAATATAACATATATCATACTCATATCGTAATACACATGATAGAAAACATAAAATCCAATTCCAGTTGTCAAATATATGTTGTTTATATTTTTCAAGTATTTGTTCTTCTAAATACTCAATTTGAGGTTGCATGTGGATATAGCTACCTGTCAAATGTTAAGACAAAGGAACTCACAGCTGTTGTTTCTTTTCAATTTGTCTTGTCACTCATAGATATATTTAGTAAAGTTGTAAAGTATCAGATGATATAAGAAAGTAACCAGGGTGGGAGGAGGGGGAAAGTCCCTTTTCTCTCTTTTAACTTCTCATGCTTAAGCACATAAACATGCAGACAATTATAATAATCTCAAATGATTCTCAAAATGAATCTCAAATGAAACACATGGTACATGACCATGTGTTTATTTCTTATTATCCATCAGAAAAAGGACACAATAAAAACAAATGGGTTTCCAGCCAGCCTCTGGATAACCTTCTGAACTTGGCTTCTATTCTTTCAATGCTACAGATGAATTTCCAAAACATTTTCCTTTTGAAGGGAATTTGTTGTTGTCAGTAAAATCAGTCAGTCTTAGATGAATACGCATTGACAGGCAACCATATTTGATCTTTGTAAGTTCCTTTCTAAAAAAAAAACTTTTGGTTATAGGCCTATTATGGTCAAAAACTCAACATTACTCCAGAATAACTAGTCATCTGAAGACTGTGATTACAACAGTATATTTCTTTGTTGTACAACAGATGGTTATGCCATATGAAGTAAACCCTATTAAGCACTGCAAAATAAGGAAGGAAATTTTAAAGCCCTGAAACTAAACTTCTACTATTAGCCCAGTTTTCTTGTGATTCTATGTATAACAATGAGGATATGATATATGTGTGCTATGCTTCTAGTTTTTGCCATTTAAACTAGTGGTCATAAGTCCATGATGATTTATAATTAATAATAAAAAAGCTACATTATCAGATTTTGTTAGCATTTATGTATTCCATTTTTTAAAAGTCACTAACTACTTCAGAATAGGTGGCATAAGACCCTGCATGACCTACTCACTATTGGTAAAACTGGTAGCATCCACAATTAAATAACACGATAAAGTTAGACCACTGGTGTGTACTGGTTTCCTGGGACATGGTTCTAATTGCAAAAAATCAAATTGTATTCAAGTGCATGACTAGCTATTTGCATGATTCTTTGAAGATCAAAGATTCCATCCTTAGTCATGAATAAAGCATTCTAAACATCTATTCCAATTGACAAAAGATTTTCCATATATATATATCATTCACCAAAAACCAATTTTGTTACAGTTCTAATGATGATGCTATAAAGCAATGATAATGCGTATCTCTTTAAGTCAGTCAAGTTGAGTTCTGTTTGCAAAATATAATCAAATGTAATTTCATGATTCGGTAAATAGTATATAAATCTGCTATTATTGGTTTTCATTTTCTTTTCAGCACTACCAATTTCCATTTACTCACTGCTGATTATTTAAAATATCCAAATATCATTATTGCTCATTATTGCCCTTAATTGTTATTCAAATAGGGCTTATTTTTGGGGTCCTCTACTACAACACATAAAATTCCACTTCTCCTACAGTAATAATTCCATTTCTGAAGCAAAAACGGAAGTTATTACACACAAAGATTTGAGCTTTTGTTTTAAATGAGGTTAAGTCCATGTCTGAAATGAGATTTTAATTTAATCATATGCCAGAGAACAAAAAAAGGTCGCTTGGGTTATTTCAAGCAACTCAAAAACTCAAAAATGTCTCTATTTCATTTTTTCTATTAAAAATCCAATTGAATATTTATTATATATCAAAATTAGTTCAAAGATATGCTCTCTTTCCTCCTAGTATCTAATAAGGTTTTTTAAAAAATAGTTTTGTGTGGTTTCAATGGCCAAAGCCCCTCATTTTATGTTGAAAGAAACAAAAATATTTTTTTAAAAGTGCATTTGAGAGCAATAATTATTTCACTCTGTCTTTGAATCTCTAGTGCCTAGGACAGTGCCTGGCACAGAGTAGGTGTTTAATAAGTATTTGTTGATAGATGAGTGAAATATTCCATGTACATCATAATTGTTACAAACATGTCCAAAGATTGATGATGCAATAAATTCTTTTTTTTTAATTTTTTTTTTTGGCTAGGCAGTGGGGTTAAGTGACTTGCCCAGGGTCACACAGCTAGTAAGTATTATGTGTCTGAGGTCGGATTTGAACTCAGGTCCTCCTGAATCCAGGGCCGGTGCTCTATTCACTACACCACCTCGCTGCCCCTAATAAATTCTTTAAAATGCATAATAACTAATATGTAAGGGGAAGATATAAGTAAATCATATGACCATAAAATATTCTTGTTGATTTAATTAAAATAATATACTAAGTCACAAAAAGAACCTGTAGCTGAATGGTATGAGCCAGATGATATATATTAGAAACCAAGAGGACAATATGCAAGGTTATCTAAAAGCAACTTGGATTTCAGTTAATAACATATGTTAAAATTCTTTGAGTTATGGAACTTTAGCACTAGAAAGGACCTCAAAGATCATCTTGTCCAATCCCTTCTCTTTTGTGTTGTTAAAAAATTTTAGGTAACTAAACCATATCAATGTCTAAGGTTATACGGCTAGTGAGGGGGAAGAACCAAGACTAGAAAAGAGGCCTACTGGCTCACTGTCTAGCTATTTTTTCAATAAATAAAAATAAGATTAATACATTGGAGAGGTGTTACATATGTGTGTATACAGTATACATATATATGTATTCATCTGTATACATATCCATATATCCATAAATTGGTATATACACACACATATGTATATAATATAGCACTCCAATGTATTTGTCTTATTTTTGTTTAGTGGGAAGAAAAGACTAGACTGAAACACATACATATATATGTTCGGTATACATATATGCATATCACTTCTGTATAAGAAGTGACAACATATTGTCTCTCATGATAAAACACAATTCTTTAAGTTAAAAATAATAATGCAACAGAAAAAAATAACTGATAGAGTATACTTTAGACAGTATTCTCTTACTAGTTATTACATTATTATGTTATTCATTTTACTAGATTATTTTAGGGATTTATTTAAATTCCTAACTGGTATACAAAGTAGGAATGATATTGTCTTACATGACAAGCAATTGATTTGGATACATTTATACTCTATATAGTCCTGTGTGTGTTTGTGGGGAAGTTGTTACAAAAAATAAAAGGCCCAGTCACTGTTCTTGGACAGTTTATGGCCTTGTTGGAAACATAACACCAATATGTGAAACTATGCCTATAGTCTCTGGCACCATATAATTAGGTGCTTAAGTTATATAGTTAAGATGGTAAGTACTATAGGAGTTCAGAAACTTGAATAATCAATTTCACAGCAGCTACCTGAACCCAGCATGGCCATATTGACCCCAAGCATTTAGACTATGATTTCACAACCAGTTTCTCTACCCCTATACCACAAGCTCCATCTGTTTTTGGAGTCCCGTGAGATGCTTGCAGACTTAAGAATCTGACGCTGATTATTTTATCCTCTTGTCACCAAATATATTCTTGTTCTGTGCCCTTACCTGTAATCAATAACCTCTTTTAAAAAATTCAACATCATATATTAATGATAACATTTTCTCTTTTAAAAAAAACTATTCTAACATGCATAGACTCAAAAAAAAAAACAGTGCAAGAAACATCTCAAAATAGTTATATGAGAGGAAGGATGGTGTAATGGATAGAAAGCTGACATTGAAGTTAGGAAAGCCCGAGTAACAGGACTTGTACATATGGGCTGTGTGACCCTGGGAAAGACACATCATCTCTCAGTATCCCAGGCAACTCTCAAAAACAATAGTTACAGTGAGGAGCAGATCTGCATTGGTAAAGCTCCCTATAAAGATTAAGCCATGGTTCTGGTCAGAATTAAGTTACCTGTGATGGAAGAGACATAGGAAAAAGAACAAATTCTCAAGAAATTGTTGATGGTGGAAAACGCTCATGACAAACTTCATCTACTTTTGAAATGTCCAGAGCCAGAAGTTTCTATGAGGTTAATAAGTAAGCAACTGGTAGTAAACAGAACACTGAACTCTTAACTCTGCATCCTTTGATAGGTCACTTCACCTCTCTAGAACTCAGTTTCCTCATTTCTCAAACTAAGGAATCATAGATGTAGAGCTAGGAGGGACCACAGAGGCTATGAAGTCTAACTTCTCATTATACAAGTAAGAAAAATGATGCCAAAGAAGGATGATAGACTTGGGGTCATGAAGATTCAGACACAACTGAAAACAATTGAACATGAACAAAGTCACACAGATAGAAACACATCAGGAATAAAATTTAAACTAAAGAACTCAGACTAGAGCCAATGTTTTTTTTTTTTTTTCCCTGAATCGCCCTGGACAAGATGAACACTGTGGTCCATTCTGACTACTTCATTCTATAGTTGTACTCATGACTAGCCCATGCATATGAATTCATAGAACACAATTTTAATAGTATAGTCATGTTGTAAGTGAATAATATTTTCTACTTCAGCTCCAATAATTGGTTCAACTATGGCTGTTTTTCTCTAGGGGAAAAATGGTGTATTGTATTTCAAATGAGGATAAAAGCAGGCCGTTTACCTCAGAAGTCAAATAAGATATTAATTTAACTTACCTCCAGAGATTCCGATGCTGTTCCTCTAGTTGTGTCAGCAAATGCTCAATATATTTATTTGAATCCATATATTCCTATGGGAAGAAAAAAAAGTAGTCGTCAAAATTATACTAATTATTTAATCATGTATAAAACGGAGAGTTTGGCTAGGTAATCTCTAAGTTGCGTTCAAGTTCATATATACATACACACACATACACACATATACATACATATACATATACACACATACACACACACATATATATACCTATTATTTATTAATTCCTTTATTCATCCAAGTACACTTATTCTATGTAAAGTATTGTGTTAGATATTTAAGAGAAACACAAAGATAGTACAGTATTCCATCTCTCTAGGAATTTATATCCTAGTATGGGAAAAAAGATAGACATACCAATAACAATAACATAAAATAGATCATAAGTGCTTAAGAAAGTGCAAGTAGTTATTTGGTAAGGTAAAATATATTTTTTTCACATCATGATATTCTATTACTCAAAACATCAAATCAGATAAGGAGAGGATAGAACTGTAGCAGATGAGTGAGGAATTATTTGAGAACAGGTAAAACTATGAAGTTTTTAAATGATAATATACAATAATCTCTTTCAGAGCTGCCTCCAAGGGGGCAGCTAGGTCGTACAGTGGATAGAGCACCGGCCCTGGATTCAAGAGGACCAGAGTTCAAATCCAGCCTCAAACACATAACACTTGCTAGCTGTGTGACCCTGGGCAAGTGACTTAACCCCCATTGCCCAACAACAACAACAACAACAAAAAGAGCTGCCTCCAAGTCAGACTAGCCCTGCAAAGCTACATAGGGAATTGATTTCCTCAAAATTTAACCAGGTAAAGTGACCAAAAGAAAGTGTTATTTCCATATTTCTTTATCTCATGGCAAATTCATCTTTTTGTTTCTGATGTAACACACCAAAGAGGGGTGTCTTGTTTTGTTCTAATGAGTTTTCCTACACAATTGTGTAATTTGCATTTTCACAAATTGAATTCTATTTTAAAGGATTTCAGTGATGAATATTTTTCTAATGTAAATAATTTCTACTAATTCCTAAAATAATATATATTAGAGGCTTTGTATTTTCAAGATGGTTTCAAGTATGGTGTGCCTATAGTTTTATTTTCCTTCCTTGCTGCATATTAACATAAAAATTGCATGAAACAGATAACAGAAATTCCTTTCCTTAAAATCAGTCAGAAAGAAATTAGGTTCAAATCAATGTTTTCTACATCTACCACAATAAAATTAAAATGAATACATGACCTTAATATGAAAAATTATAAAAAATGTTAAAAGAGATCAAGACCAGAGAACCTTCCCAAGTGTTGTCCAGGGAGTGAATTCTTAACCTTACAAGAGACAGAAACAATTATAAGAGATTAAAGGGGCAGCTAGGTGGTGAGGTGGATAGAGCACTGACCCTGAAGTCAGGAGGACCTGAGTTCAAATCCGGCCTCAGATCAAACACTTGACACTTACTAGCTGTGTGACCCTGGGCAAGTCACTTCACTCCAATTGCCTAAAAAAAAAAAAGAGATTAAAAAAAAGATACCTTTGACTATATGGAATTGGAAAGCTTCTGCATGAACAAAATTAATGCAATTGGGATAAGAAGGGAAATCGTAGAGTGATAAAAGAAATCTTTGTATCAAATATCTTTCATAAGTATTCCATATCCAAGATGTCTAGATGACTAATAAAAATAGAAAGACCAAAAGCGATTCTCCAATAGATAAATGGTCAAAATACATGAACAAATAATTCTCAAAAACATCTGTAATTAGCAAATTGGAATTATGTTAAGAAAGTATCTAAATGTCCCTATTCTTTGACCCAGAGATTCTACTCCTATACATATACCATAAGGAAGTCGGTGATAAAAAAAAAGGCCCACATACATCAGCACTTTACTATGTTTATATTTATAACAGCACTTTTTGTAGAAAGACACAAAGTATATGCAGGTCAACTGATGAACGGCTAAACAACTTGTTTTATGCATTATAATAAAACATTGGTATGTTTTAAGAAATTATGAATATTATGAGAACAGATAAATTTATTCAAATTCAAGTAAGCACAAACAAGAACATCCTCTCTCTCTCTCTCTTTCTTCTCCCTTCTTCTTCCTCTTTCCCTCACTCCATATATATATGTACATACATATATTTATATATACATATATGTGCTACAGTGATGTCAACAGAAAGAACAATAACAAAGCAATTAAAATTAAATTCTGTGAAATTGCAATGAGTAAGCTTTATCCCAAAGAATAGACATGATAAGTCACCTTCCCCTTTATTTTCAGATGGGGAGGCAGTCTATGAATATGGAACACCAGAGGTAATGTGAGATATTTTGGATATATTGGTAAACTTTGCTGAAATGTTTCCCTCTCTTTTTAATTTTTTGTTTTAAGGGATACCTCTTTGGAAGGGTTAGTTGAAGGATATATTGGAAAATGAAGGTGACAAAAAAGTTATCAATACAATTAATTTTTTAAAAGAATTCCCTTTTGACTTTTAAGATCTAGTCAGTCAGCCATTGCCTTTTTCAATTCAACTGTTTTACCTAGAAAAGAATGCAATGATGTCAATGTGCCCATGAGAGCTACTGTGACATTTCATGGGAATTTGAAAAAATAATAAAAAGATGGCCCTAGTTTCCATTGATTTTTTTCCCTTTCTGAAATATTGATTTCTTATGCTTGAATACTGTAGATTATCTATTTCTGCCACACTAATGTGTATTCTAATAGAAAAAAATAATCAGTAGAAAGTAGCCTGGCATCATGGAAAAAACACTGCCCTAGAGATCTACACATTCTGACAGTGACTAGCCATTTAACCTTGCACAAATTGCACAAGCTCTTTGAGACTAAGTTTTCTCATCTGCCAAATGATAAGGCTGAATTCAATGCTTTCCAATATATTTTCAACTCTAACTTTCTATGATTCATTCATCAAATTTTTTGAGAATTATATATATATGCATATATATGTCTCAAAGCTGTCACTTTGACCTTGGAGGAGGAAATCTCAGGATCTCAGAAAAAGACCCATAAAGTAGAAGAAGACCACAGTACAATCTCTCTAATCCTGAAGAAGAGATTCCAAAGACAGCCTGGGGAGCAGAAGAAGGTCATGAAGCTGTCACTTTGAACCAGCAGGACACTAGATAAGACCAACTAGTGTCACACAAGGCCAAAAATTCCTGCCAGAAGTGTGCGAAGTCCTAATCTGGAATGAAAAAAAAAGGTAGGGGAGGGGAACTGATGTGCCTAAGACATAATTTCAGAAAAGGAGAATATCTCCAAAAATCCTTCAAACAAAGCCTGAAAGAAAAACACAGCTTGTCTGCAAGATCAATTAGAATTCCTAGAACAAATGAAGTGAGAGGTTTTGGTTTTTTAAGGGTTAAAATGATATAAATAAAATAAAAATACTAGAGGGAATTAGTAAGGAAATGAAAGCAATAGAGGAGAGATTTGGAAAGAGAATTAATGACTCAGCAGAAGATTTGTAAAGCCTTACCCAAGTAACAGACTCCCTGAAAATTAGGACGGATCAAACAGAAGTTAATAACCCCATAAGATCACAAAAAATTAAAAATAAAGTAAAAATATTGAAAAAATAAATCTCATATAAAAAATTGACCTGGAAATCAGATCAAGGAGATATGATTTAAGCATCACTAGACTGCCTGAGAGTCATAATAATAATTAAAAAACGCCTGGATATCATATTACAAGAAATCATGAAAAAAAAACTCCCCAGACAACAATAGGGCAAAAAAAAAGACAGAAAATTCATCAGCCACATCTTGAAAGTATTCCCCAAAATAAAACTCCCAGGGAGCATCATAGTCAGTAAGGAGTAGAGAGATCCTTTGTTAGCCTGAAATACTGTCTACTCGTTATCTGGAACCAGAATTGCTAGATCTTGGCAAGTCACTTTACTTCTTAGCCCCTCATTTTCTTTTTCTTTTTTTTAAATAAACTAAACTAAATTATAGCTTGGGTACTTTCTAGTTTAACCTTCCCTGATGATTCAAAACATATTTCAATGCTAGCTTTTTGGTTCTTTGCAGTGTTATAAAACATGGATATGGGATATAAAAGATTCAATAAGAGTAAAAAGAAAAATACCCATGGAAATGAAAGAGACCACAGAGATCATTCAGTTTAGTTGTTTAACTTTTTTAGATGAAGAAACAGCATCCAGATGAAGTGACTTGCTTAAGGTTACACAGCTAATTAGTGGCCAAATCCATTTAAGTTTCCTGGCTCTCAGACAAATGTTATTGCCACTGTCGTAGAAGGATGCATTTTATAACACGTTTTCATTCAGCTGTTGCTAAAGAAAAAAATTATTGTAATCAACTCCCAGGAAATTTAGTTTGTTTTATCAGAATTTTATTACATAGATATTATGTGATTAAGTAAGCTGTCAGATAAAGTGTAGAAATTCTTTTTTTTTTCCTTTTTGGTTACTACTCTTTTTGTAAAGACATTTGTCAAAAGAAACTGAGCTGCACTGACATATAAGAATGATATGAAACCTTCAGTGTGCATTGTTGGATCATTTATACTAATTCTGACCACACAATTAGGAGTTATACCTGCAAACAGCTTAACACTCCAATTTTTGCTTAACCTACTTGTAAGTATTTGTCTCCATAACTAGTTTGTGTCAAGCATTGCCAAGTAAACTAGAATGTAAAACTCATTATCTTTTCCCTCTCCCAGTAAGGGTAAATCACCAAAGAAAATGTACCTTGTCTCTTTTCCCAGGGATTTACAAGGCTGTTCGAAGGTTATGGGTGTTTCAACATTAAAGTTTCTGCATATTAAAAGAAGCCTTTAATGCAGAAGTGAAGGATAATGATTTTCAACCTGCTGAGAAAAGTGTAAACTTGTGTGTAATTCTCCTAAGTTATGAAACTGTATTTAAACTAGAACTCTATGTCCAGAAAACCAATATTGTAATTAAAATGTTTGTACACATATTATCCTGACAAGTACCTGTAAGCAAACCTTGATGATATTTTTGG